AAACTAAACCCTCCCTCTTTCTGGCTGTTATCCCTCCGCTGATGGAATGTGTTCTGACAAGAGGACTTCAAAGCAAAAAAAATACCAACATAACAAAGGCTTTATCAGCAATACATTATACTTTTTCGTGTGTGTTTAACCTAAGTCATGGTTTGTGATGTGCCTTTGATGTAATGAGCGGTGCAAATAGTGGAGGAGGGGCTAGATCAGTGTCTAAGGTCATATCAGGATACATGAGTCAAACTGAACCACAACAGAGAACGTCATTGAACTTTTGTGCAATATAACCCCGGCGTGAAGATCACCACACCACAGGTCTAAAACCAGTTTGTCTAAATCATTTTAATTCTCTGGGAAGTGCCAGAGCAGGTTAAGAAACAAATAACATCAGGCAGATGCAATAAAAAAAAAGTGCGTAAGTAGGGCAGAGCCTCTACTCATCACAGCACGGTGAAATACCACATATTGTGTAGAATTGCTTAGCAGCAACGAGAAGCTATCAATAGATGTGTGCCTTTGCATGGCTTATAGAAAGTGAGCCCCATTGAGTGAGCCCCAAAGTGAGCCATTGTGTCTGCTGATACCACTGGGTGGAGGCAAAACCAAGGTGACACTTACAGGCATACTTCACATATATTTGTTAAATTAACTGTTTACATAAGGCTACTCGGAAGAGGCTGAAATATAACATTTCAGCTTATATTGTACTATTTGACTCGAGCTACCAACTGTGCTTTACAAAAATGGCATTTTCTTCTGTATGCACAAGCCCACTCTTTGATGTGGAAATGACAGAGAGAGAGTAAACAGAACTAGAAAGAAAAAATGGCATGTTACAGGCATTTTAAACTTAGGTCCAAGTCTAGATTGAGTGCCATTACAACGATAACTATATTTGTGTAAATCCCTGAAGTGCTAACTGTTAAATTCATCAGCACAGTCAGCTTTCAACAATCAAAAGCGCAGACACCAACACCATTTACAACGAGTAATAAAAGGGGGATTTCAAATGAACAGTCAGCAGGAGGTGATTTCATTCGCCGGGAATCAGAGCATAGGTATTCCCCTCCTCGGCTGTCGAGGACAGTGGTTTGGATTGCGCAGCCATGTTAGTATGCAGAGCATGGTTCGGTGAGGAGCGAAATGTGAATGATAAGAAATAAAACAAACAAAAAAAACTGAAGTACCAAATCAGAGTAAACGTTTGCATTCATTAATCCTCAGAAGCCAGAGGCTGTAAAATCAAAATACCAAGAGGGCTCAGAGGTTCTGTGAGAAAAACTATAACTGACAGATTACAATGATGCCCACATCACTATTGACCGCTTTTCTCCAAACTAAGCTGCTAAATTTAGCAATAAAGAGGAGGACTTTCTTCCTAAAGTATTTTCCTGACCAAAAGAGCGTTCCAAATGCACTGATGTCATGAAGTCAAGCCCTACAAAGAAAAACCACTGTCTAAGACATGTTTGATGATGGCCTTGGTTGTTATTAAAAGCAAGCTTTAATTGTCCCTTACAAAGTCCCCGTTTTTTTTTTTACACTATGTAAAAAAATGTTATCTGTTTATTCTTCCATACTTTAAACAGAACATAAAAGACACAAGCCATAAAGTCTGTAATCATTCACAGTGCACTTTTTTCTCACACCAAACACACACATTCATACAAGCAGACAGAGACACACATGCGTGCGCACCCAGGGGACTTCCAGACCAACACACCTCCACCCACACTCAACCTCCAATGCTATACAGGCTGTGAACCCTGAGACGAACACACACATTCCACACAGGTCTGCTCACATATACACAGATAAACTGAGAATTAGGACTATTGACACACACACACACTTCGTTAATGCTGACTTGCGATGTAACCAAAGATTGTATGACCAAAGACTCATGCAGCTGCAACTACAATAGCAATTACTGTTACATGGAGTCAACACGCTGATGATGAGTTGGGAAGTCATGTGATGATCAATAATAATTTGCATCATTGCATTGCTCTCCCACACACTCACTTACATAAGCATTTCCATTTTATGCTACTTTACACATTCCAGAGAAAAAAGACCTCTACATTTATTGACAGCTATAATTACTCTGCGGATAAAACTCATTTAAAACATATGACCATCTTGTAAAAGTACAACTTACACGTATATAGTATGAACTAGCCAGCATATACAAAAATGTGTAGAGTACTTGAAAGTAGCTCCACATTGACCAGTTACAACATTAACATGCTGTTCATACAGTAATGCATCAGTAAGAATAATTCAATAAGATAATATTTAATAACATTACTCTGACAGAGGCCATTCTGCTGCATGACAACTAAATTAAATTGTAAAAAAATTCTGGTTTGATAACTTTTTTAATTTTGAATGCAGAACCGACTACTTTTACTCAAGTAAAGGATGTTAATTGCTGCTTCCACCACTGATTAACATCTGTTGTCAACACTAGATAGTTGCTTCTACACCTTAAGGTGGGCTTCTCTGACTTTTCCAAGAGATGCTTTTTGTGTGTGTGTGTGTGTGTGTGTGTGTGTGTGTGTGTGTGTGTGTCAATGCACTACAGTGTTTGCTGAAACCTGTTTTGTTTTCAAATTATTTATTTTCAGCTTTATATTTTATTGACCTGATTACACTAAAGAATTAAGCGTTTGAATGATGGGTGAATTATCACCTTACATTTTCTGTTTTAATTTGTGTGTCACAGTGAATGAGACATCGCTCGACATTATTCATACAAAGAATGAAATCAGGAACTACTCAGCTGCCCGCAACCATGCTGAATAATCAACATCTTAAAACAAATCATACACGCTAACATAAAACTTGTTGTGTGCAATAACCTACACAGGCTGAAGACTTTGTCAGCTTGCAGTACATTTTGTCTCAGTGCACTCTGTAATGACAAAAATAAGATGATAAATGGCCTGACCCTTAACAGCAGGAGCAGCTGACGCTGAGTGCATACAGGATAGCTACACCTGCAGGCCAGTGCTTGCATTTACTTAGGTTTAAATAAAGCAGGGTACTGAAATATTTGTCTCAAATTTATCCTGAACCAATTTTCTAATCCTGTTTAATTATAAAGTAAAATGTTGCCATGAATCACTTCTCAAGACTAAACTTCCTCATTCCAAGCCCAGACTCTCCCTAACACTCAACCTGATGGCAAACGTGATGTATTTTATTTTGATACAGAGGCAGCCATTATTCCATCTATGAAAAACAACCGGTCTATCCATCCTCACCTCACACAACACACATTCCATTAACTGATCAATTATAGGTCACATTCCTTACAGAGGCCTTGCACGCAGTGTTTGTGTGGCTGTCTCTCCTCCTTCATGGCCGTGTGTAATTACCGGAAATTCACGGTGGTGGTTGAGCAGGTTAAACAATGGAGAAGCGTGACACTGCAGTTTCAGTATGACTTGTTGACAGTTTACATTATTAAGACACATAAAACTCTAACTCACATATGTATTAGACATTAACAATTGCAGCAACCACTGATTTACACACAGTAGCTGCTGTCTCTTCCTCCGTGGAGACAGAAAGGCATTCCAATCATTTTGTGAAAGGTCTCTATTGAGATGATACATTTGGTTCACAACTCTGTCAACACAACACAGCTGTCATGATGGCACCGCTAAAAATCTATTTTAGGCCGCTCAGCAAAAACTGACCCAAATTTTTTGGGTTGTTTGTATCAGTTAGTCACAGATGACCTTTTTTGCTGTTGGTATAATTTAGAGCAGACACCGAATCTGGATTACCAACCAGGCAAGCCAGCCAACTAGCCCCAAAGTCCCAAAACTCCAGGGGCCCAAAAGCTCCAAGCTTTAAATGTGAAAACAGTTTTTTACTCATTTAAATTAAAGTTTGTTTGTGAATATGCACTACTAATGCACAGCTGACATGACCAGGGGCTTATGGGATTTTGAATGGACATGGGTCACCCAACCATAAGGCTTCTGACTTTGTGACACCAGATGTTTTAAAAAATGAAATTGAATTTTTCTTTTAGATTTAACAAAAGTGTCCCCTAAACAGTGCTGTGTTTTAATGAATCAACTCAATTCATCAATTCAGCATTCTTTTCTCCTGCATGACCCCTTGGGGGTCCTAATAAACTGTTTTTGAGTCTGATAAACCTCACAGATGTACTACTTAAACTGACCTTCCTTGGTCATATTTCATCACCAGTACCATCTACCATTTATTGATTTATTTTATTTCAGGTTTATTGAGCAGGGACAATGCACACTAATAATAGCCTACAGATACTAAAAGATTTTAAAAAAACAACATAGAAACAAGAACAGTGGGTCAATATCAACACCAGCACAACAAAACACATCGATGCAAGCTCTTGCACTTTGTTTTTTTATTCGTTTTTTTCTTTTTAATCAGTGCTGTTTGCGGTCTGAACGGTTAGTGGCCTTATATGAGCCCAGCAGTTCAGTCTTCTTTTAATCCAGCCATGAGGAGTGCTGTTTGTCCTTTTGCCCTTTTGCCTGTTTATCCATTACTGATCCCCCTTACAGTTAGCTGTCACACTTCATTGACTTTACAAACAAATCGGTTACAGTTGACAAAACTATCTCACCTCAGGGTCTACTTAGTAGCTGTTCTGGGGCTTTTAATCATATCACATGATCTTGATCAGCTGATGGGAGTATGCTAACAATCGCCTTGAAACTTTTGATACTCAAATTCCCACTACTTTGGGAGCACTTTAGGGATTTCTTGTAGATGTCTGATTAAAGTTTAGCAAATAAAATGTAAATGTGAACGTCTAGCCTACAGTTTAACTGTGCAAACTCCATCTCTTGATGAAGATCTTGAGATGGGAGTGAAAGCTGCAGAGGTGATAAATATAAATAAATGCACCATAGGTGAAACTGTAAAGTCAGCGTCTGTTTCCAGGGTCAATGTTGAACTTTAAGCCTCAAAAGTAGTTGCAGAATCGTACATACCTACACGTGCAGCTGCGTTTTCTAATAAAAAATCGAGGAAGAACAGAAAAATTTGATTTTGTCGGGATTCTGTCCCATTTTGTCTGGAAGAGTTGGTTTCCATCATCTCGCAGCGCAGCAGGATCGAGGAGGAACACAAGGAAGCAAACTGTGGCGCTCCTGCTGTCAAAAACCAGTTGCAGCAGCGCATGCGCACGATCGCGCCACTGCAGCAACGCAGCAACAGACAATTACGTCACCCATTCAACACAGGCTAGTCCAGACACACACCGACCGATCGCTGTACAGGCGATGTACGGTTTAGGCTGCTTATTCGACCCAGATAGCCGGTGGTCGGGACAAACTGACGAGCCTCGGACGGTGGAAGACCAGCCGTCACATATCAACACCGAGCCGTAGTTATTCGACATTCGCTCTCTGGCGTGTGTGCGTGTGTGTTTTCAGCTGTTGTTCCTCAAGTAGGCATCATCTGGCTACCTGTCAACGCAATCTGTCACAGAGGTTATCGCTACAGATTTGTGAACTTGACAATGACTCTCCAGGATGCGCTGACAACTGCCGCAGCGAATGGACAAGCGGCAGAAGTGAAGAATCTCCTGCAGGCAGGAGCTCAAGTTAACGGGGTGAACCGTTTTGGACGAACCGCACTACAGGTCAGTGTCACCAGATGCGTCTTCAGCCGACGAAAAAAAACCCCCACCAAACTATTTTCGCACTTAAATATGTTTCATTGACAGAGTTAACACCATTGACCTCTTCAAATGACAGAGGTTACTTTACTCTTCCATAGGGAAGATCTTTTTATATTAAAAAGCGACGCACATAAAAAATGACGCGCAGTTGTGTGGTCTTTGTGGAGTGATCAAACCTCGGCTTATTTGTATTGAGGAAGAACACTATGCTGTTTTCCCCTATTTATGGTAAAGTAAATGAATTTCCCATCCAGCTAAATGAAACGAAACTATGAAGTTTGTATGGCTGCATGAGTTCAAACCAAACACAGCCTTGAATGCTGTTAGGCTGATTTGGATGATTCATTTTCGTGCTGCATTGTTTTTAATCGGGCTAAGCGAGACATTTAAATAGTGTAGCCTACAGATGAGGATCACCTTTGCTTTGAGATCCATGAAAATTATTAGATATTATCACAATAACGCGTCCACGTCCTCATAACTAACAACAGAAAATGTGTCTCATCCATGTTGGATTATTCTGGTATTTCTCTGATACACTACTGCAACAAATGAGCAGAATTAACATGACAACAGCTTCCATTGACAGTCAGTAGGATATTTCCCACGGCAATCTTAAACCAGAAATATGGTTTTAAGTTTAGGCTCCTACTTAGGCGCATTTCAAAATGCAGACTTTGTAGGCTATCAAATGTGCAGTGATCGAGGCTGTAGCCCACTAAATATCGGGGGGAGGAAAAAACTATCCTTACCTCTCAAGTCCTCTTAACAGAATATAATTTCTCTTAACGATTACGCTAAAGAAAACGAAACTAAATGTGCAAGGAGCTTTCAAAAAGGCGCCGCGCCGGTCATTCCAGACGGGATTTCATGTTCGCATTGTTTTGTTTGAAACAGTAGCCTAGTGCTTCATCGTTCTCCTATTTCCACTCAAACATATTTCTTCAGATAAAGTAAACTCTAGTCCATGTGGGACAATAGGCTATAGGCCTACGTTCATATAGCCTATCTCTTTACAAGCTTAGTATCCCGAGCGTCTGTAAAACTCTTCATGGCGAGGTCCGTGTAATGTGTTTAGCCACATAGGCTATTTCCAAATGTGCAATAATATAATATCATTATTTGATCAGTGTGATAGGCTATTATTAAATTGCAGGTCAAACCAATCCGTAATTCTCTTCTGTATTATTAAGGGTTCGAATATAAATTAATTGATTTTTTACAAGTGTTTTATAGCCTAAGGCTACGCCTAATCAAATTAGATTAGATTCTAACTGACGATTATATTCTTTAGGTGATGATGATGGCGAGCACGCCGGTGGCTCAGGTGTTACTGGAGCACGGAGCTGATCCCAACGTGGCGGACAGAAGCACGGGGGCCACCCCGCTGCATGACGCCGCCAGGACGGGCTTTCTGGACACTGTGCGGCTGCTGGTGGAGAAGCAGGCTGATCCTTGGGCCAGAGACAATGCAAAGTGTCTGGCCGTTGATTTGGCCAGAAACGAGGGGAATACCGATGTGGTTGCTTTTCTGGAGTCTCTAAAGCCTCCGCTGTGATCTTTTTGTTTCCTGCTGTTTGTTTTGAATGGGGACTTCGGACTCCTGGAAACGGGGCCTTAAGAGGCCTGCAGCCTGAATTATGCATTTAGACTGTTTTGCTGTAAAATGTATTTTTATTTATTTGTCTGTTTTGTTTTTAGGCATCATTATTTTATTCTTAACGAAATCAGGACTATCTATAGGCGTAGGGTCGCTGTAATGGTAAATAACAGCAGAACAATATTGTTATAGGCTAATGATTTAACGCCGGGCTGTTCAGCGTAGTTTTACTCAACTAGAACACAATTTGTTGCAATTTTAACTTCGTTGGATTACTGAAATATTCAGATAAGCCTATAAAAATCAGACTGTTATAAGCTAGTGTACAGTTTTACTATAAGCCTATAGTATTTGTATAGTTTAATGTATTTTTAAATAGGACTGTCTTTGGTTTTCGTTATAAACCTAATGACATGACCGGATTTTGACAGTTTCCATGTCAAATATTTAACCAAATAACACGAAAGCCATTTAAAATGTTTTGCACATTTGAACATTATAGTGGCCAACTGATGAATCTTCTGTAAGTATTATCTTTATTCTGAAGACACTTGGAAGTCCCATTTCATGTTTGTACAAATTATATTCAGATCTTATTAGGCCTATGCAATTTATTAAAATGCAAGAAGATAGCATTTTAATGTAGGAAGCAAAATTGTCTGCGATGGACTGCGACCTGTCCAGTGTGTACCCTGCCTTTCGCCCGATGTCAGCTGGGATTGGCTCCAGCCCCCCGCGCCCCTGTACGCAGGATAAGCGGTTGACGATGGATGGATGGATGGAAGCAAAATGGTGCAATGTAAACATTGTCTGAAGGATATATTACTGATAGGTGGGCCTACCAGAGAATAAAAACTTCAAAAAATCCTTATTTGGCTATGCATTTGAGTTGAGTTTGAAGAACAATGAATTCCAAACGAGCAATATATCACAGCAGGGCGAACATTTCAACTTTATTAGTTTACTGACTTATCCTTGGATTTGCTTTTGTTAAACAGGTTTTCAGGCATATTGACAAATAGACCAGATACAACCCGAATGCCTTTCCAAACACTGCACGGTAAATATACAGGCTCGTGATCATCTCAGGTGAATTCACAGGCTGATGCAATCATTAATTTTCAACATGTTCAGGCAATTTTCAATTTCAACCCCTTCTCATCATTGTGGGTACTATTAACACGACTTTACACTTTCCAATTGCGTGCAGTGGGTACGCCAAACTCCAATTTTTGCGTGCATATGTCACGCAAATCCTTTGCATTGACAGATATGCTCCACTAAACTTTAAAAAAAAAAAAGAGATTTGTCTGTATAAAGGACGTTAGCTTATTGAACTCTGAATGGGTTTCTATTCTTATATTAATACCGCATTGATGCCTTGCAGTTCGAAGAGTAACAATCATTGTGAATAAACAGTCATAAAAAAAGGGCTATGCATCTACATTTCGAGAGATTAGCCTACTTTCATTTAGGCCTAGAAGTTTTTATGGCTTTAGGCAACACACAGCCAAAGTCTCCCAAACCACGGAGGGCATAAATAGCATTGTTTTGTCTGTTATGAAATGGAGTTTAACGTCCAGGCATGGGTGAAATATGCAGCCTTACAGGATTGATTATTTTACAGTAATGTGGCAAACCGATTTTATTTTAACAATAATACATTCTGCTTATCATATTTCAAACAATAGAATGATTTTCGATTTAAATTATTCTACGAAATCGTTGGGTTGCATTGCAGCGCACATTGAGCATGTTAAATAACACTGTATGGTACCATAAGATACATTTTAATCAGTTCAATTTGCCTTAATTTTCTTTTACTAACAACTTGAGCATGACCTCAAATCCTATTGAGCTATAATGTATGCTGCATAATGCATTCATATTGGTGAGACAAGGCAACAGGAAGAGGAAATACAAGAGACTAAATCTTTTTAAAACTGCTGTGTGATAAAAAAAAAAATGCTAATTGCATTAGATGATGAACTCTACAGTATAGCAAACCTTTTAGTTGCAAAAGAATATGTCTTTCCTCTCTGTCAGTGTCAATAAATGCAGTCAGTACAGGTTTCTCAAAAGTTCTCCAATTAGCTAATTTAATGATAGCTGGAAAACAGTTTGCATGTACAGTGCAGTATCCAATATATAAATTAAATGCTGTTGGTTGTTTTGATTCGGGAAACACAAAAACCATCATGAAGAGCAAATTAAATGAAAGTATTCCATGAATCATATATTATCCTAAATGTTGCTGAAATGTGTACAGACATGTAAAATATTTTACTTGAGTAAATCCAACAAATGTTTAAGACATCAGATTCAACTTTAAAAACATTATCATAGTTCATCATAACTAAGGCAGTAACAAAATCTCAATGTGCTAAACTTGCAAAGCATTTTTATTATCTCCTGCATTACCTGCAATAAAGACACTAATGGTTTACAGGCAACAAACAAATTACGAATGCTTACAGAGACAAAAAAAAAAAAAAGTTTCATGTTTCGTTACAATCATGTGTCAAGTCTTCTTAAGATTCTACTCATTTTTGTGTGTGTGTATATATGTAGATAGATAGATAGATAGATAGATAGATAGATAGATAGATATAATTTTAGAGAGAGATAGATAGATCTCTCTCTAAAATTATATATCTATCTATCTATCTATATAGATATAGATATATATATATATAGATATAGATAGATATAGAGATCTATCTATCTATATATACACACACACACACACACACACACACACACACACAAAATGAGTAGAATCTTAAGAAGACTTACAATTTTTTCACATGATTGTACCGAAACATGTGAAAGAAAACTTATGATACTGATAAGAGTTCCAGAGAAAAAGAGTGAGCTGTGAATCAGGGGGGAGGGGGTGTTATGTTTATTTTGAGTCAAAGAAAAAACACTGAACTTCAGCTGAAGACAGAGCACATGCATTATTTATGTGAGGCACTTTCTTGTTTCACTAATAACAAATCCACAGGCAGAGTCTGTTGTCCATGTCCTTTCTGGGGTCCGGATCCTTTTCTACTTCACTGTTTTCTTAGTGTTTTGGTAACATTACTGAAGATTGTGCCATTGACTGTAAAGGAAGGAAGAAAAGAGTTTATTTTCCAAATATGTCTCACAGGTAAACAGCAACAATTATAGTAGTTACTGTCGAGAGAAGACAGAGGACATAATTTAAAAAAAAATAAAAATTGATATATATTTTTAAAAATATTTTATTTAAACGCACCTGCCAGTCATTATTACCAATTCTAATAAAATAAATTAAATATTAGGAAGCTTTAATGCTGTACTTTTTCCAAAAGTGTAAGCGTTTCCACTAAACAAACAAACATGGGTTTTGAACAGAAATGTAACTCCTTACCTTACCAACCTTTTTCAAGCATGAAACGTGTTCATTAAAAATTATCTACAAAGTTTAATAACATTGTTCATAATGTGGTTCTCTGAAGTGCAATTAATATAAAACATATACACATTTGATATTTTTATTACCACATATATTGGGTTAAGACTGTACTATGTGTTGCAGTTGTGGTCTCTTTTTATGCTCATGTTGTCAATACCAATTTCCACTCAAACCTGCTGATTTTTTTTTTTAAAACACTATAATAAGGGTGCGACACAGAATCATGATGTCTGAGTCAGCCTCTCAGATGGAAGTAACTCTCACAGCCTCACAGTAATAATCACCCTCATAAAAGTGTAGTGTTTTCAGAGTGGTCATGCTCCAGATGGTTTGACTATTCTCTTGAACCACAGTTTAAAGAGGTAGTTTTGGTGAGAAAAAAAAAAGAGACAGATCTCAGCTCAAGATAGCCAGCTTAAAAAAAAATAATAAAAAAAAGTTAAAAAAAAGGTAAACAGACCCCCCTTTCACAACTTCTCCAAAGACTTACTGAATGGAAATGAATCATCATACAGTCAACAACTTACTTTCAAGGTCTTCATTGTCTGAGCCCAGTCCATCTGACTAATCTGTGGTATTGCAGTTAGCAGAATACTGCTGGCTTTGTTGGCGTTCTCCTTCATAGTCTTCATTACGTTGTCAACACAGACCTGGGACAAGGGAAGAAAAACAGCCACTGTGCGATAAGAATCACATGCAGCAATGCGAACTTCAACCTCCTCTAAAAAAAAGTGTCAGAGTCAGTTTGTTTTTCCCAAAAAGGTAATTTCACATGTATCTTTACTGACGCTAAAGACGATGATTGCACTGTGAATAACAGTGTACTGATGTGTGACGTGAGGGAAGACACTATCATGTAAAATCAGAGCGGCAGTTATATCTGATGTTTCATTTTCAACACACAGCATTTCTCTCAATTATTTCAAATGGAGATCATATGTGGAATTCCAGAAAAGGATAAAACTTTCAGTTGAGAAGCTGATTATAAAGACCTTTATGCGTATTTATTAATGGAACTGCCGAAAATAGGGGGATAATGGTTGAAAGTGTTTAACATTAATATACTGTATATAATATATCAAGATGTGGCAAATTTATTTTGACAAACAAAATCAATTATTACAAATGTTTTAATGAAATCTGAACTTTATTACACTGTTAACTCTTCACACCTAATAACTTTATAATAATTTTTTGGGAATTGTAACTTGGACAATAGAGTTTTGTACAACAGTAACAGTCATAATTCACCCCACTGAAGTCCATAAACTATGATAATCAATCCAGGACAGCAAGGTGAGCTGGTGAAAGTTCTTGAGTTTATTCAAATCACTGCCACAAAAGGACCTCAGCCACAGTCAATACAAGAAACTATTCACATCCTTGCAGATGTGAAGATCAGCACATTGTTTTTCTAGCAGCCAGCTGTACCCTGTATTCCAATGACTCATTTTGTGGTATTAACGAGCCTTGAGCCATTTCACCTGCCATGTCTATGACACTGGTAATCATCACATTATTCACAACTGACTTCCCTACAATAGGAATGGCGAATAAAAATCAAAACAGTGCAATATGTTGTGCATGCTATCTGCTGAAAAAAGGAGGCCTCAGGTCAACATAAAATGTTTAAGTATATCTGTATGAAAGTATGTGACAATATCAACATTACTCAGCCAGATGTTCGGTGCACAGTAAGTGCTGGTGTTTACCTCCTGTAACCTTCATTAAACCCTCCCTTGAGTGCATTGTTTTCATGTCACATTCAATGACTAGGTTCATGTTTTTGTGGTGTTTGCCAGGATGAAGACTGAAGCTGATGACTCAGTGTGACTCAACCTCCTCTGGCAGGGCTTCCACCGGAGGCTGGCAGGCAAGCCAACTAGGGAGGTGGGTGGGGGGTGTAAGGAGGGGGAGGCCAGGAGGTAGTATGAGGCTGGCTGGGGGGGGTGGAGGGGCGGAAGGATGTGGCGAGCCTCCTGCAACAGGAGGGGGAAGAGGTCAGCTGCAGGAACTCGGAAGTCGAGTTGGGCTGGATCAGTGACAAATAAGCCAAAACTCGCCCACACGCAGTATATCAACTGCATTATCCAGAGTGTCTGACAGAGAGTAGGTCACTTGGAAGCCATAAGACGCCACAGATAGTCTAGTCTAGTCTGCAAATGGAGCACAGATAGCGAAAACCTTTGTTGAGAACCCATCATACTAAAAAAAAAAAAAGGGATCTAAAAACCATTAGTTTCTCCTTAATAATGTAATGCTTTAGTGATGTGCTAACTGTAGAAAGTATGCTTTAATAAAGACTTATTTGAAGAGAATTACTTCAGAGACTTGCTCTTTTGTTGCCACCTACAACACTTCTCTGCATATCAGCTCCAGAAAGGAAGAAAAGTTCTTCGGACAGGACTGCCTTAAAAGCGACAGAGCTATTACTAAAAAAAGAAATTGTTTATGAACAAACAACTTACAAATTATGTTTGCTCTTAACTTTTTTCCCCAAATGGTGAGACACTGAATGTGTACCCAAACAACATGTAACTATGTATATATAATACAGTTCAAGTGATCAAACATTAGCATGCTCTGTGTCAAAAAGTGAGGAGGACCTCATGAACCCAAACGCTGTTTCCTGCAACAAGATGACAATGATCACTGTGGTTTACAGTAGCCAAGGTCCTTCTGTTACAAGCACAACTCAGAAAACCTTCCAGTCAAAGACACTGAGGAGAAAAACAAGCTAGTATGTGTCAAAGCACTAAAGTCCAAAGCTCAAAGCTAATGTGGGAGGACTGGATATAATTGTGCAATAATTGTTTTATTGCATCTGGTGGCACAAGTGTTCCACACATGTGCATTTTTATGGCGCAGCAATTTTACCTCAACAAATTGTTTTGCAGAGAAAATGGTTATGTGGAATAGACCCTCAGGGGGTGCTGGACCCTACTCTCTGAATCACTGGTCTAAAGTGACCTGGCCAATGCTGTACACCCCTTTTAGAAAATCAGCTGCCTGATTAGAAGGAATGGGGGAAATAAGGAGAGGAAAATCCCAGAAAGAATTTGTAATTAGTAGAGGAATTAATGAGCTAGTGTAGCACCTTGGCCTATAAGCTAGCAATAAGCGATGCTGGATGTGGGTCAGGTGTCAAAGTAGAGTTCCTGATCCTATTATGTAAGAGAATAAGTTAATGGGGACGTGATTATAGGTGGCGAAAGAACGAAACCACCAAGTTTAACTAACAGCTGTAATCAAGCTCAGCTAGCAAGAAAAGTTAGCAAAAAGAAACACAAAACTGTAATCCATCTGCCATCAACACAGCTTAGTAAAACGTGTAGCTAATAATGGCATTAACTAGTTTGATTGGTGGTCTCTAAAAAGGCCGATCAGAAAAGCTGATCAGATGACGCAATACTCGCTAGACAAATTTCCAACGGCAGCTAAACGCTACGCGGTCTGAGCAGTTTTCAAAGCTAGCTAGCACCAAAGTCCTTCAGACAGGAAGCGACTGATGCGCTCAGTTAGTCATTTACAATGAGTGTTGAGCAGCAATCAGACAAGCGGAGCAACAAGCAGGAGCGATCATGTAAACTGTCGCGCTCCTCTCACACACACGCAGCCCGCTACCAGAGTTTAATTGTCTTGACCCACAGCGCATCAGGCAGAGAGAGACTGATCCTTCTGTGAGAGTTTCTTGATGCAAAGAGAGGAGCCTCTCAATCAGCTGACTGCCTCTCTCTCTCCCCGTTTTTGTCTTTAAACGGAGACCTTTTGTTTCGCCTCCTGTCTGGATCAAAACGGCGAATCCGAAGATGTTTGTTTGAAAACGCAGCTGACCCCGTGGGCAAAAACGGAGGACCGTATTAAACGATGACACAGACACTCACATTTGGCTTTCTGATTCGGTCTTATCAGTCATGCAAAGCAAAACAATGACGCAACTGACAGAGTTTTAGTTTAAGTACTTTTATTAAAATATTTTGTACTGTGTAAATAACACGTAGGCCTACTGTGCATTTCGCCATATTTACTTTGTGACGACTCCCAGACTGTTTCCCGCCGCCACAGTTTGTATTCCAGTGTTGCTTTCAGTAACAGATCCACTTCGTTGTCGGTCAATGCAAAAAAAAATAAAAATAATAATACTTGGTGTGGTTCTTCGTCTGTATTACTTTCTTCTTTCGCCAAATCTTCTGCAACTGCCGAGTAGACCATCTGCTTCATGTTTACACTGGCACGTGCATGCCCAGTGTACGTAAACAGCCAATAGATGTGTGTTTTCAGTCGTTTTAATATGGACAGAGATTAACTCTGATACACAACTAAAACGCTGCTGTGGACGGAGAAGATCGTATTCGTTATAAAACGGTTTATAAAAACCATCGTAGTGTGGATGTAGCCTCACATTACCCCACTCCTCTCTCTACTCCTCTCATGTCAACTCTCCCGTTTTCCCCGTGATTCTCCCAAAATCAAATAAAAATTTGCTGGCCTATTTAAAGTGCTTGCTTCTCTCGCCTCTGGTAAAGCCGGTGGCAAAAGGCTTATGTAAAAGATGCAGACTGTAGACAAGGATTTAATAGAAGAAAACAACCCACTGAAATAATATTAGGCCTATCCTAGTGTTAAACTATATGAAATTATAATGAGTAAAGTAACTATAAGTAATATTAACAATATACTAACAGTATAATATGGAATTAACATTGTACTTTTAGTTATTTACTTTCCCCCCAAGTCTCATTGATGCCAGTTTTGACTCCTCACTGTTTATTCTACAGGAAAGCTACATTTGTTACACTATAATATGTTCCTAGTAACCATGCAAAGGCTGCTATGATTTAAGTCTCTAAGACAGAGACAATACTGCTTTCAGCAATCGGTCCAAAAAATCCTGATCGGAGCACCTCTAATAAATAATAAAGACACCTAAAAGCAAGTAACATTTAAATAGAATAGGAAGGAAGTGATGTCACACAAAATACATCAACCGTTCGCCCTTTGCTGACAACTACTGACTCGCACAATACACGATCAAGAGACATCAAGGCCATAAAAACGGTGGTCAGGACATCCAGCCTGCCACTCACCGCCTCCTCGTGTTCCTTCCAACAGTCGTAGTCTGTTGCCATGGCGATGCTGGCATAGCACAAGCCGGCCTCCTTGGCGAGGACCACCTCTGGCACAGTGGTCATATTGATGACGTCAGCGCCCCACTGGCGGAACATCAGGCTCTCGGCCCGCGAGGAAAAGCGGGGCCCCTCAATAGTCAGCATAGTCCCTCGTACATGGCACTTGACCCCCAGGCTCCGCGCCACCTCCACCAACACCTGCACCAGGATAGAGAGTTAGTAACAGTCTCCATTAAGTCAATACGAGAGTAGGTGGGAACTGTTGACATAGTTTCAATAGCTTATCCTCTCATTCTCTAAACTACTTCTTCCATTTTCTAACAATAATTTGCAAATAATTAGCAACATTATGGATTAAGGATGCTGTTACAATTTGCTTGCTTGAAAGACAGAAGTTAGGCCTACCTAAAACTTGAACTCAAAGTTCAACTTAAAAATGAACTATCTATATCTAAATCCTGAATATGAGATTTGAGTAAAAATTAATAATTGATCACATACTGTTTTTTTTACACTGTTAAGTTCCAGTGACACATAGTTTTGCTACAAAGTTTTTCATGTGTTTAAATATTATCAAATTAACGTCCATAATCAAGTCATTTCTAAAATATTCACCACTTGTCATGTCCATGATGAGGTTCAGCTGTCAACTATTTTGCTCAGTGTTTCAGTGTCCAAAGGCATGTGAACTGTGCTTTATTTCGTCTCTCGATCCACCAATACACACCTTCAAGTCTATTTTGGTCGGGACAACTCAAATAATTGAATTTGATATGAATGTTGTACAAATGTAATGTTTACACACAATTAAAATTAAGTTAAGTTTGATTTGAGAATAATTTTGTGAAACAAATTATGGCACAAAAGCTCAAGGAATTACATGTATGATGTACAATATATGTACAGGTATTTGAGAACTCACCTCTCTGGTTCTGTTGCAGAAAGGCTCAGCCATGGGGATGTGACAGACACCTGGAGGACTAGTGGGCTGGCCGTCATACAGAGTCTGAGCTCTTTTGGTAGTCCTGGCAAAAGGAAGCAGACAGGAAGTATGGAAAGTTATTCAATCCTAAAGCAAACCAGGAAATTACACACACCATTGTAAGGTTCAATTGTTTTAAATTAACAAAATCCTTGATCAAATGACTTGGTTTGATTAGATTAGCAAATTTCAAAAGTTATGCTATTGTAGAAATAAATCATAGACAATTCATTTTCACTTTATTTATGTCAGATTGGCAATGAAAATGAATGCAAATGAAAGTTGAAAAAAAACAAACAAACAAAAAAACATAAGACAGAAACCAGACATCAACATACAAAACACTAAAAAGAGCAATGACCGAGTAGAAAAAAAACAATTCTCAGAAACACTGTCAACACGAACATTAATCAAGAACCAAGCAGCATATTAGAAGTTATTTTGCCAGAGTCATAATCTAACAAATCTTCCGTTTGAAATCTTCTAGAGCAGCCACAGTTTAATGATAAACTACAAGTTTATCAGAGTGATTGAATTGTTTCCATCATTAAACATGTTATATACAGCCCAGGACTATAAAAGCATTAACAGAGAACAGTAGTGACCTGGTCTCTCGCACCAAGCCAACAATGCTTGTACAAGTCACAGTTCTGCTGAGTCAGCGGAGTTCCACCAGGCACGGTGCCAGCCTGCCTCCCTTTAGCTCTGTATGGAGATGGGCCGGGAGACCACAAGACACTGACTCAATTAGCCCAGTGCCCTGAAAACACCCAGGATTTTGTGTCTCGCTGCATCAGCTTGTAATTCTAGTGTTCTGTTCTATCAGTGTGTATAGATAATGCCATAGGTTTGGTCAAAACACAAATATTTCAGACATCCAAAATATGAATGTCTCGGTCTGCAGTAATCCTAAGTTAATGCCCAGCCCTATCTCTTGCTCATTACCTTGGCATGGGAAGAACTCAAGTCAATGCTTAAATAGAATGAGCCAGCTGCAGCTCCACCCTGCTGAAAAAATAAATAACAGCAGTGTGTGGGATAAACTATGAGCTGAGTAGAAATTAAGTTATCTTGGCTTGGCATTTCATTTCAGAGTCATTGTTGCAAAGAATGGCTCTCACAGCCTATTATTACCAGATATTCAAATTAAAAAAACGGAGCTAATGGCAAAATGGAGCTAATGGTAGTGGCTCCCAAGCCGCTGCTCCTGAGGGTAGGTGATCTACTCCTCAAAGTGGATGGTTGCTCCATCTCTCCATCCCAAGAAGTCCGCAATCTTGGAGTCATCTTGAACTCCACCCTATCTTTCCAGTCACATGTTATCAACTTATTACTAAATCTGCTTTCTACCACCTCAAAAACATCTCCAGACTTCGACCATCACTCTGTGGCAGAGTCTCTCATCCATGCTTTCATCACCTCCCGCCTGGACTACTGTAATGGTGTCCTGTATGGGGTAATAATAATAATCTTTATTTGTAGAGTACTTTTCAAAAACAAGTTACAAAGTGCTTTAACAAGTGTAATAATACCCAAAAAACAATACAAGATAAAGAAAAGAAAAGACTAAAATACACGTTTAAGTTATATATAAAATGGTACCCAGCAAGGTCCTGGACAGGCTACAATATGTCCAGAACTCGGCTGCCAGGGTTCACACACACACACACACACACACACACACACACACACCACCCCAATCCTCACTCAGCTTCACCGACTCCAGGTCAAATTCCGCATCACCTACAAAATCCTACTCCTCACCTATAAATCTCTCCATGCCATTGCCCCCCAGTACCTACTGGACCTTCTCCACCCCTACTCCCCCTCACAGAACCTGCGGTCCACCGACAAGGGCCTGCTCTCTGTCCCTCACACCAGACTATGGACTTTTGGAGACAGAGCCTTCAGCGTCGCAGCCCCCACCCTCTGGAACTCCATCCCCACAGAGATCCGACATACTCCCTCTCTGGACACCTTCAAAAAACTCATCTCTTCACAAAGCCATTCAACCCTGAATGACTTTTTGTTGCTCTGTCTCTGCAATTATGTGTAAAGCGTCCTTGGTTCTTGTGAAAGGTGCTATATAAAGTTATTATTATTAATTAATTTATTAATCCTAAAATGCTAAATTAGAAATATACCACAAATCCTCCTCCAGCACCAACTTCCAACACAGTTCCATCACATCAGGTCTGAAGTACAGCTTGTCACTTTAAAGATCTAAAGCTTTGGGAAATGACAGCACTATTCAGATTGTATAACCATCCAGTATGGGTGCATGCCATTATATGGCAACATGTTACACTGGTTTGAGAGTCTGGGGAATGTGTTGACTTACAGTAGTTTAGTTTACATGGTTGTGCTCTGTAAATGAAAAACAGGTTATAGTTAAAGAATCCCTTATATCCCCTTACAGTTATGCAGTGTTCTAAGCAGCCTGGATGGAACGCAGCAAGTGATACAGCATTCATTATAACCACGAGAGACTTGAGACTTGACTTGGACTCAGACTTGTGAACATCTCTGGCATATCCAGAGTTTGTTTTTTTTAAATGAGAATGTGCAAATAAGTATTTTACTACATTAAGTCTTTCCGGTTTATCAAGCAATACTTGTACAGTGTCTGGACTGTCAGATTTTCCCTATGAATTCTGCTCCCTTAAAGAAAGCTGACTAGACACTTCCTGCCTTGTCAAGCCGCCCCCCCTACACACACACACACGCACACACGCGCGCACGCACACGCACACACACACACCTTTAAACCTGCTCCTGTTCGCCCTGCCCTTTTCATTCCCTCTATCATGTACTTTCTTTCTGAGGTATATTTTCTGCAGTGCACGGTGTTCAGTTTGGAGTAGTCATAGAGATCAACTAAGCAGTTGTGACATAACAACTGTCAATAAAGTAAAGCCTAGAGAAACATGCAGTCACATGCCGTGGGACAAGTCTGAACAAGTCCAAACAAGCAACTTCCTCATTTCTGCAAAACAGATCTTGTCTGTGCTTGATACTGGAAACTGAGCTATTCATCTGCTTCACTGACACGGACAAGCGAAGCCACAGGCAACGTGGTGCAGTTGTATACAAGTGTACAGGGGAACACAATGACACGACTATGGGGAAGTAGTTTACAATTCATCTCAATTAAATGAGCTGAATTCAAGTTCACCGGTAACAAATAAGCCATCCTGCTTAACGTGGCACTTATAATGTAATATGTGCAATCATGCACCACAATGTATATGCCTTGAGGTCAAACACAGCTGAGACAATATGCTTTCCCATGTTAATGATTATGAAAGATATGGTCAGGTTTACCAGCAAGTGTATTTAACTCAGATTGTGGATTTCTAGTGACTGAAACCCGGAAATACAGGTTTTGTTGCAACTGAAGACTTCTGTGTTACAGACGATCCAGTGTTAAATTCTCACTTAAGTCTTCCCACTGAACAACCTAATAAAAAAAATATTGACTTGTGACAAATGTGTTAAATGTGTTGTCAAGTCCGTCCCCCTTTTTCACTCAGCTACCTGGACACCCTTGTCATACAGTAACACGAATCCTGTCAGTGAGATGTGTGGGAAGATGCTTGAACTACTTCCTCTTCTTCTTCGTACTATTCAATATAGTGATGAAACGCACTCTGTAGAGCGGTTCATCCATTTTGGCTACTGTAGAAACATGGCGGCGCAACAAGGCGACTCCCATGTAAGAGGATCTGCGGTGTATGTATATAGAAATGGCTCAATCTAAGGTAATAATTTTGTACTAGAACCAATAATTCTATATGGCAGCAAAATTTGGGGACCAAAACTAAATAATTAATTTGACAAATGGGACAAAACAATCATAGAATCTTTCCATACTGAATTCTCTAAGAGCATCCTGCAGGTGCAGAGAAAAACACCAACTAACCTGTGCAGAGCAGAGCTCGGCCAATACCCCTCTTACTACAAATACATAAGAGATCAATAAAATTTTACAATCACTTGAAATCAGTTAACCCCCAGACATACCATCACAAAGCCCTAACATACCAGGAGTTGAAACCAGAGAAGAGTCCCCTCAGCCAGCTGGTCCTGAGGCTCTCTGCAGTAACAAGTCCCCAGCAGCCTCAGGACAGCAACACCAACTCAAGCAGACCAAACCCAAATTATCAACAAGCAGAAAGAAAAATATATTGAATACTGGAAAGAAACAACCAAAGCACAAAGTAAATTACGATGTTATCTGACCCTAAAAAGAGAATTCACACTGGCAAGTTACCTGAGCACAATAAAATGTCCTAAACATAGAAAAATGTTGACAACATACAGACTGAGTGAACACAGCCTGGTCATAGAAAAGGGTCGCCACAGACAGAGCTGGCTACCACAAGAAGAGAGACTCTGCTCCCAGTGTGACACAGGACAGGTAGAGACAGAGCTGCACTTTCTAACCTCATGCCCTAAATATAAAACACTAAGACAAAAACACTTTGCAAACATTTCCCAAATATACCCTGAATTCAAATTTATATAAGACACACAGAAACTCCCCTATTTTCTGGGAGATGTCTCCTCATGCCATGAAGTGAGGACAAGCAGTGGAAACTCAGACTGATAATTGTACAAATTTTCAAATTATTATTTTGATTGTTTGATATTTTAGCAATTGTTTTGTTTTTAAATTTCACATCTGATACTGATTTCCACACACACACACACACACACACACACACACACACACACACACACTACTTTACGCTTTAATTACTCGTTTAATGAAATGTACGGGGTTGATTGTTCTTATGTAGTTTGTATGATGCTTTGGCAATATTGTTGTTATACATTCATGCCAATAAAGCTAACTTGAATTTGAATCTAAAGGGGGCCTTCACCTACCTCATTTGGTCTGGACTTTCAGACTTTCAGACGAAGTTTGAGCCAAAACAAAATTACAGGTGTGAAACCTCCCGCGGACCATCGTTCGGTTGGTTTTTAGTGTAAAAGCATTTTTTGGACGGTATGGACTTTCAGAGCATTTACAGGAAGTTCGGTGGTTCCAGAGTAAAACTGGAAATAAACAAATGCACAGAGAAATACACTGATATAAGGACACAATTATAAATCTTCCGTGACAAAACAGAGGGGGGTGGGGGTCTGCGGTGGGATTGTGGGACGATTATCGATGCATCTTGATGTATTATACTTTTTCCCTGGGCAGGGTCTCTGGATGGCTGCTGGGCGTTTAGTTTGTGCGTTGGAGTCCGGGGGAGGCATCTCCTCGTTGGCTTGGAGGGACCTGTTTGCGTTCCTGTTTTGCTTCGTTGGCCTCGGATCTGTGCTTGCCCATTTCTCTGTCGGCCAGTTGTTGGACCCCTCTGGATACTGAGGTATATAGTTAGTTTTCGGGATGTGCAGTGTGGGTGCGGGGCAGGGCTGTGCTCCGGTTTGTTCTGGGTTTGTGCCTGGAGTTCTCGGCCCTTGATGGATGGGTGGGTTGTTGGTGGCATGCAGCTGAGCTAGTTGATTTTGCCTCGTTGCTGGTTTGGCTGGTGTTGCATGGCGGCCGGGGGGCGCGCTGGGCATGGGGGATGTCGGCTGGCGCCGGCGGCCTTAGTTTTTTCCGGCAGTTGGGGGGACGGTGGACTTTTATTGGCGGGTGCACGGTGACCTGTGCGGCGCGTTTGCTGCCGGGCTGGGGCTTGCTGCTGGTGTCTCTCTCCGCTGGCTTTCGCTGTCGTGTTGTTCCGTTTGCTCTCTCTCATTTGCCCGACCTCGCACGCGGGATTCACGGGGGGCTGCTGGGCATGGGTGTCCTGACCATTTAAAAATTTCAATATCATGAAAACTGTGTTTCGATAACCACACTTTGAAAGACTCATGGTAAATACGGTCCAGTATCAACCAAAGTTAAACGCAGGCACGCATGTGTAGCATGCAACGTGGGTTTGTTTTGGGTTGGTGAAAACATGGCGGAAGGCAGTGACAGCTCTCCAGAGATTTTTCAGCCCGTCTGAAGTCTGGTCGTATTGTGGTTTTTATAGGAGTGCTGAGGGACTTTAATGGAAGAAAATTGCTTTATAGAGAATGCAGGGTAAGTTAACTTTTAGCTCAATGCATGACATGGGAACTTTGGAATGAGGGAAAATGTCACGGTTTGTCTTTCTAGCTTGTAAACTGAAGCTCTCAGTGTTACTGTTGTGAAAACACTACACGTTGTTCTGCTGCTGTATGCATCGTGTGTCTGCATACTCGCCCAATGCATATGGTAACACGTTATGTAGTTTAGTCTCCCGACAGACAGTTGCCGAATTGGTTGTAAAAGTGTTCCAACAGGAGAAACCAAATAGACTCCTACAAAAGACTCCTTTGTTCTGCAATTACTATCAGTATGTAAGACACATTTTTATTTATGTTAATTGTGCATGCAGTCATTGTAGGGCTGTACGATATGACAATATCTGATGTTTGACGATCAAAAAACGTCTATCGTTTACAATTATGCGCCATTGTTTATATCGTTGTGTCGCAAATTCCACACTTTACCGAAATATTTTGGTAAGGGAACAGCAGTTTGCACCGGGGTGAAGTTAGCTTTACGTTGGAATTCGACATCATCGTCCAACGTAAAACTAATATCCAACTTTGAACTAATTTCACCGCGGTCTGTTCTTCTACATGTGGCGGGGCTGCAAAGAAGAAATTGCAATCAATATAATGGACGAGCCACACAACACCATCCAGCGGTGCCAGCCATGATGTGTTAGTCATGTAACGTTAAATGACTTGCCCACGGAGATCCAGCTTACTTTATGGTTCACCAAGACATGCCGTTGTTGTGATGTTAGTTGTAGTAGCTGGAGAGCTGTGAATATCGTTGTCTAGAGCTGCTGTGCTGCTCTGGGACAGTCTCGTCCTCTCATGTTAGCTTTGCAGCATTAAGTAGCATCAGTTTGGTAATCCACAACCAAATGTTAGTCAGTGATAGTTACATTACTTGCTGTGTCGTTGTTCACTCTATCATGATATTTGTCATGGTGTTGGATTTCTCCCTTTTAAGTTCTCACTTACCCCTCTTTTATAATGCAGAGAAATATACAGAGTAACAGTTGGAAATGCCATATTTCATTGAATTTACAAAAAAAAAAAATATATATATATATATATATATATATATATATATATATATATATATATATATATATATATATATATATATATATATATATATATATATATATATATATATATATATATATATATATATATATATATAAAAAACTCGTTATTGGGATATGAAATGGCCTATTTCGGGATATTTTTTCTGATCATCCCTTCAATCGTCGATAAGCGATCCAATCGACAAACAACCCTAATGGTGATTTGAAATTTCATACCATTTCATCTCTACTTACACAGAACAGACAGTAGGAGTGGGAGTGAAATTGGGATTAGGTTCTGAAAAATTGCCAGGAGAGATTACTATTCCCACTCATGTTTGAGCATTAAGCTCACACAGCTAGTATTTGTGTGCTACTTGTAAATGCAATTGATTATTTTTTATAGCCTGTCCATTTGAGCTCTTGCAGCTACTTCATGTTATTACTCTGAACCACTTTATACAATAATTTACCTCATTAATAACAGGCTTTTAGCCTGAAAACCTTTTTCAAGTTCTCTGATAGCCACAATTACTTTAAAAACACATCAAGAATACAACTTATATGCTCTGACATTCTCTGTTTCCTATAAGTCAAGAAAGTATGTGGAAAGAAAAAACTAAATATCTGAACCAACTTGCTGTTGTGGTCAAATCCCACTCACCTGTCAATGAACTGATCTATGATGACAATGTCTCCTGGCTGAATCTCCTCTCGGAGTGAGCCACAAGCTGTGGTAACCAACAAATGTGTACAGCCCTCTTCTTTCAGTGCCCAGATGTTGGCCTGGTAGTTCACATTGGACGGCATTATAGTGTGTTGCCTCCCATGTCTAAGCAGAAGAAAAAGCATTTTTAGATCAATGTCAAAAACATTAAAATATAAACTTGGATTTAAAATGCGCCTCATCATTAGCTGGATTGAAATATGAAAGAGATGCAGACAATACATATTACAAGTGAAAGCTTTTTCCACTAGATGGGGCTAATAGAGAACACATCACCGTTTCTCACCTTGCAAGGAGCACACATTCCACGTTTTTTATCTTTCCCAGTATCAGAGCATCTGATGGCTGTTCAAGAAGAGCAGAATAATCAATTCAAATACTAAGATTACTGTAAGGAATCATTAAATTTGCAAAATAGAACAGAACGGCAGAGTTTATGATAAACATTGTTCTATTTGACAAAAAAAAATAAAAACATCTTTGGACCACGAATTAACAAAAACACAACTAACCTTTCCATACGGTGTGTCAACATAACGCTCAGTCCTTCCCTCCAAGATATCTGGATCATCAAGGCCTGAACCACCAATTATTCCAATCTAAACAAACATTTTGAGAAAGTCAACAGACAACAACATTAAACACACACACACAAATTTTGATTGCGCAATTGTTTGTGTAGAGAAAGAGATTTACATCTAACATTAAGGCCCAGCACAGAATTAAATAAAATTTAAAGTCTTGTGTAGATGTCTACATTAAATATATTATATGCATGAAAAATATCTATCCATTATTGTATTATTAAAATATCTAGCAAATAATTTTTTCATTTCAATATTGGCAGTTTGTTTTGTTTTCTTCACTGCAGCAAGACATTCACTCACAGCATTATATACACAGGATTTAAAAACATAAAATTTGGTGTCTATATTAAATATAGACATGCAACCATATACATGCAGTGTAACATACAGTAATACAGTCCAACGGTTTCAAACAAAAATTAACTTGCTGCACCATCTATAATTAAAATACACCATCTATTACAGTCCAGCAGTTTCAAACTAGGGCTGAAACGATTCATCGGTTAAAATCGATTAATAAAATGCATCGACACAAATTCTTTGCATCGATGCTTCGTTTAATCCATTTAACTATAACGTTACAGCACAGTGTTTCGCACGGACATTTATTACTGTCGCACATCGCACTTACGCTGTGAACACGACGTGATTATAATAGAGCTGTTTGCAAAGTGGAGGAAGAGAGAGAATAGAGAATAGCAAGGGACAAAGAAGAAAGTGTCCAAAGTATGGGATTATTTCAAGTTAAAGAAAACAACAACTCTGTAATGTTACCGTCCATCCACCGTAAAACGAAACTTACGTCGCCTTTGCAACAGCACTACGGCAGCTGAACAAAAAGCCCCGGTGTTCCGCCAGCGGACCACAGACAAGTTAACAGTAACAGCCAAGCCGCCAAACACAAGTACTTCTTAAACGACGCATCGATGAATCGTTGAAATAATCTATCAAAGCTTCGAATACCAAAATCATCGTTAGCTGCAGCCCTATTTTAAACAATTAAATTGCTACAATTCAAGTACAGCACACGGTAATGCAGTACAGTATATAAAATATAGCTTAGTAGTGCAAATTAAAATTGGACCATAGCCTAAAACAGTATTGTGCGAATTACAAACACAGTAACATTAGTAGTGCAAATAGGCCTCAGCTCGGGGTTGTTTCAGTGCATTGTTAAATGTTCAACAGGCCTGAATGTAGGGCGTCAATGCCGACCTGGTAGCAGAGTTCGAAAACAAACTTATTAAGTAAATATTGAGATTTGTTTCCCAGGTTTCCTACTTGGTCACTAAAAGCTAATTATTTAACAGTGGAATTATACATTCATAGGAATTATTCTGTCCTAAGATTTTTGACCCATATAAGCAGTTGATCACTGTAACCGGTTTCGACAGTTTTTAGTATGCTAGAAAAAAAAGATGTAGTATGTCTCATACATAGTATGTCAAAAATAGTATGCAAGAAATACTAAAATGTCCCATCTGTTTTCGATAGCATTTTCCAGTTTGCAAGCCAGGATGCTTTCCTAGCCATTCTCAGCCACAATTGTCTGTGTAGCGGTACCCTTACAGTCAAGATGATGACTAAGATAATAAAAATGTGGTTTTATTTATCTCATCATGCATAGTGGATAATAACATATCTAGTATGGAATTTATCTGCAGATGCTCAGGTTCAACATTAGACCAAACTTTGCTATGGTTGTTAGTTTTTGGGCCACAACGTGGCCTCCCACCGACTAGGTAAGCCTTGTTGTCAGCCTAGCTAAGAGCCAAAAAGGCCTTTTGCTATGTCTTAACAAATATTGTAAAATGGTCAATACTGCGCAACTACCGGCCGTTGGTGCAAGGAGTCAACAGCGGTATAAATCAGAGCAGTCAATAAAACTTTTCATAATGGGTCTCACATACAGTGCAGGGAAATTAGGAAATGAAAAGAAAGAAATAGCAACAAATAAAAAAGTGGTGTTTAAAACTGTATGACCACACATTCAAATAAGTCACTAAGACCCCAATGACAAGTCATGATGCTACTATTTCCCTCTAAGGGAGAAAGCTGTTTGTACATACAAACATACTGTCAGTTAACAGCGGTGCCCGAAGGTAAATATATATTTACTCAACTACTGTACCGCTATTCAAGCTTTGCTACATATTTACTTTACTGTTTATAGTTGGTAAACAGCAGTGCTCAAAGGTAAACATTTACTCAAGTACTGTACTTTACTGTAACTTTATTACATTTCAGAGGCAAATTAGTACTTTTTTACTCCACTGTATTGGTTACTAGTACAAATTAATATATTACATAACATATGATCAGATTCTAAAATTTGATACATAGTCATAGATTAAGAACTTATAAATGATGGAGATTAAAAACAGTATGTTAAAATGGGTTCCACTTTGAAGCAGCTGCAACATTGAAATGCTGCTTACAATAACAATACTCCAAAATTAGAGCATATAAAATGATAACTTAGTATCTTATGTTACATGTGTATGGTCGTCAGTATGCCATGTATCCCCAGACGTTTTCGTGCGGATTGTAAAACAAAGCAAATGACATACTGAGGGGTCTATCATTCTCTTACACTTAAACATATTTTTGCACTTAGAAATGTTTTGTAGTTTAGCTCTGCAAAAGTGAAGTATAATTATATGGCGCTTTGATGTGAATGTTCTTAAGTGCACATTATTTGGTCCATTGTCTGAATGTTTGTTCGGTCCTTCAAGTATCTGTAATGTCGGATATTATGTTAAAAAGCTAACAAATATAATTGATTAAAAACAACCATAACACTGGCAAAGGCCAAACTGCCTGTATAATCAACTTCAGTAACTTCTTAAGCATATTTAGCTGATAATACGTACAGTTATGTAAAGTTCTCAGCGTGGTATATTGCTACTTTTACCTACAAGGTAAGGATAACGTTACTTCTTCCAACCCCTGTTGAACTACCTGCTGACAGCTGTCACGGTGCTGCGGGTCAAAGCTGCGGGGTGCACTCTGGCCACATGCCAAAGCAACTGTACTTAAGATGGTTTACCTTTAGCTGTTTTAACACTTCTTCATGCAGTTAGCATGCTTGTGTTATTTAGCCATGACCGTTTACTATAAGTTATTTGATATAACTTAAGTAACGTTACAGCTTTGCGAATACGGTGCTAACATCTAGGTAAAGAGCTTTTCCCGCACTTCATTAGTCATTCCCATGCGGTCGTAACTGCACATCTGGCATGACACGTTAACGTTACCTTAGCTGTGCTTTCCCATTGATTTCTCTCTGGCACCGTGTTCAAACACACAATATTCCGTTACTAAGAATTTCAAAGTGACATTCAATTTTAGGTTATTACCTTAATGGGCGCCGTAGAACCCATGACGACAAGATTCTTGCCTGTAAAAGTGAAGATCCGATCAAGTAGTAAGTGTTGAAGAAGACGCTTTATAGCCGCAACCGCTAGCAACTACCGTCACTTCAACGGACACCATCCCGCTTCCTGTTTGATTTGCATGCCTTCAAAATTAAAGCTTGGCGTTAAACCTACATTTACTTGTTGTTTTAGGCTAATCATCTTATCTATTTCACTGCTGACCGTTTTTCAAAGCAAAGCATTTATTTACATTTTTACTTACATTGCAGGTTGCAGTTGACTACAATACTAAAGTCTACTCGATGTTTGAAACGTCCTGTCTGCTTTAGTTCAGAATCAGCTTTATGTGTAAGCATCATAGGTACAATATAGACTTTTATGCAGTCTATGGTACACATTCAAGGAATTTTACCATTGCTCTCAATGTAATTTCACAGAAATAGACATAACAACTCAGAACAATGACAACAAATAAAGGTAAAAGAATAGACAGGACTATTATGTACACACGTGAAAAAACAAGTGGATATATAAATATGTGCAGCAAATATATAAATGGATTGATTATGTACAGTGTATGGATGCCTATATACAGTATATACAGCACATGATTAATATAGTGAAAATGCATGGTGGTTAGTATGTGTTAAAATGTAAAACATATCACCTATAGTCTAATCAGTAAGATAATGTTTTGGTGTTAAGTTGTAGTTGTTTGTATTTTTGTAGCTAGTTAATAAAGTGAAGACTTTTCAGCTTTTTCTGAACCTTAAACATTATATACCACACGACTACAATACTTTCATAACTGTATACTCTTTCCTCATTACCTGTCTAAACCAAGTTGATATACTAACTGATCATTATACTTTTTTTAATGGATGCTGGAAAGTAGGAAAAAAAGAGCACATAAACAAAAACAACAATGTGCTTTTTAAATGGTCTGCAGTCCTCTGAAGTATGTTGTATGTCATTTGTATTAATAGACTAAAATGTGCAAACAAAATGGTATTGTCATTTTATTTGAACGTTCCTGAATGGGCCTTGACATCAACAATTTAGAAAAAAGTGAATTATATTCTCTTGGTGGTGGTGGCGCATAGATGCTTGCCTTTGGTGTGGGAGACCTGGGTTCAATTCCCACTGTGAGACATCCACCATTGTGTCCCTGAGAAAGACACTTAACCCCCTAGTTGCTCCAGAGCTGTGCGACCTCTGAGATGTCTAGCAATTATAAGTTGCTTTGGATAAAAGCGTCAGCTAAATAAAGGTAATATTTTCTTCAGAGCCATGCTTAGGTGTCCAAAGACCAATCAATAGTCAATCTAGAGTAAAAGGTCTGTCTCATGAAATAGAAACTTAACTATACTGTATAGCCACTGCTGTTTATCTTAAGGAGGTATAAGAACCAGATGGAGGTTTGAGTTAGCTGAATTTGGAAGCAAATTTACGACTACTTCTGTTTGTAAGGCCACTGTTACAGCTCCAGGGCAATATGCCAGGGCTGGTATGTGTTGTTTTTCAGTGATGCAGGTTGGTTGGAACTGGAGGCTGCTGGGCACTATCTCCAGGTGATGTAGGAACTGCCCGATCCCGGTAGGGGGAAGGCTCCCTCTTCCCTGGCACCACCTTGCATTACGTTGGGTTTACAATTTCTGTATATTTATTTAGTATTGTGTTAGTGTTGTCTGGTACGTTTCTATGTCAGTCTCATACACATTTGTTAAATAGTTATTTTCTCTCACATGTGCTATTGTTACAGAGCTAGACCATCACACTACTTATCTATGCAAACACATGTTCAGTCATTTAAAGCTTTTAGCTTCATCCACCTCTTCCCTTCACTGTATTTTACACCAGTGGTCTAATCTGAAGCTCTAAAACAAGATGTAAACTAGTAAAGGGGTTTTGGGTACTCAACACACTACATTGTTCGTAATTCTCTTAGCTTGGATCAAGTGTTTTAACTCAATCTCTTCTTCTCTTTTCTCTATTCCCTATGAAAACCATCTATCTACTTCTGGGTTTAATAGCAAAATGTCTGTTTACCACATGACTCTGATCTGTGTGCATAAGAGAAACACCAACTATCAATTATAATGGCTATCAATGTAGCACTGCCTCTTATGTAACAAGTCTGACTACATCATTTTAGCTTTTTACAAAACACACTCGGATAATAAAGCCTCAGTCTAGCTGAAGTCACACTAAGAAAGTTGGCAAATGTATGGCCCAGCTATTAATCAAATGAACCCAACATACTCAGTCTGATCCTGCATGAAATAAACCAACATTAACAAAAAAGCACACACAGTTGCTGACTGCAATTTATTTTTAAATACAATTTAATACAAAAGAGCCCATCCTAAAATCCAAACACCATCTGCATATAATAAGCAGGTAGAAATTGTTTTGACTTGAGAATATAGCAGAACATCACTGTAATCAACATGATCCCTGAGAGCGCGTTAGAAATAAAATTGATCCATTAAAGAAAATTAATTTCCAGAATAAGAATTGACAATATTTTTTCCCCCATTCTACTTTGTTCAGAGTGGCATTTTGCACAGAAAATAGGATTGTTTTAGGTGTGTACGTTGATGTGACCTCGCTAAAATGGACATTTATGATGTGAATGAACACCACTCTAGTTCTGGGTCTGTCATGTAATCAGCACACTTGTGGCGGCATTTAAAAAAGGGGCACATGAATTCATCCTATCCTATATCCTTCAAGGTCTGGTGACCTTCAACATACAGAACATCGTTCTGATCTAAAATACTGCTGGCAGGCATTAGCAACTGAGGGTGAATACATCAGTTCCCACCACACGCAGCAGGAATCTGAGCTTCCATTCAACTACACATGAGAGAGGGGAGGGGCAGGGTCTGCGGCGTCATCTGTGGTATTGTCGATGGGAGTGTCCTTGTTAGTGCTGCTGGCCTGGGTCACACTGTCATTTGCAAAATAATCACTGTCACTATCAATGGTAATGACACTGGGTGAGCACTTCTCTGTGCGCTCATTACCCTTGTGCCTTTTGCTTTTCTTCTTGTGTTTCTTTTTTTTCTTATGGTGACGCCTGCTTCGCTCACAAGAGTTTTCCTCGATGACGAGCTCCACACTGAGACTCCTGCTAGTCTTTCTTGACCTCTCTTTGGATTTTTTACGATGCTTCTCTTTGCTCTTTTTTTTGTGCTTTGTCAACAGCGTGGCAGAGTCGCCCTCAGCATATAAGTTGTGAGTGTGTGTGTCTTCAGACGGCTCCTCCAAATGTCTTGTTTTGTATTTCCTCTTTCCGCCCGGCTTGTCGTGGTGTGCTCTCCTTTTCACTGAAGGGGAACGACTGCTGGAATAAGTCCTAGATCGAGAATGCCTCCTGTCCCGTCTCCGTGAGTCCCTGCTGTGGCTCCTGGAGCGAGAGTGCCGATCTGAGTACTTGCAGCTACTGTAAGAATAAGAGCGCCTCTCTGTGTAATGCACCCCACTATCATTTCTCTCTTGGTTGTAATGCCTATATGACCGATAGCTGTGATCGTCGTCCCTCCTTTTACAGTTATTGTCACATTTTGAGTAGAGGTCTCTGCCACTCGTGTAACAATACCCTCTTTCTCTTGACAGAGTGCGGACACTGCTGTGGGAGATCACCGGGTACCTGCTAGAGTGCCCATGCTCTCCACTTCTTGACTTCCTCCTTCTCCTATGGTCTCTATCCTTTGACCAGTGCCCCTCCTTAGATCTATCATTACTGTCAAATCTTCTATATGTGTCTTTTCTGTCTGACTTACTGGATGTCTTGTGTCTGCCGGATTTTAAAGAGCTGCTTCTATCTTTTGAATCCAACTGATGATAGTGGTCTGTTTCTACATTTTCTGACTGTCCAGTGCCACTTGGATCACTACTCTGTGAAGCTATAGGACTGAGACTGGAGAAGCGGATGTGCTGAGGCAGAAGAGGCACTTCTTTAGTATCTTCACTGGCAGACTCATCAGAGTTAGAGGAAAGTTGAACCAGCTCAGGAGTCCTCTCTGCCGTTGGCTTAACAAAACCTACAATGACACAGTCATCACTGTCGTCAGACAAAAACTCTTCATTGTTAACTTCACCCAGAGTCATGTCTGTTTGGTTATGAGGACTCATTTGCTGTGGAGAAGCCCTAAACTCCCGCCTCTCCTCCTCTAAACTGCTGTCCGAGTCTGAGTCAAGGACTGACAGACATTCTGCCCTGCTCTGCTCCGCTGTCGTAGAATACGATGGGCCAGGCGTCTCATCATCCCACACAGAACGGCTCAGTGTAGACGTGGAGTCTCCCGGGGGGCCCAGCTCCACCTCAAGTTCCTCATCCTCTGAGATAGCTATTACAGACGAGTTGGAGCTGCTGTCTTCATTTGAAGAAGTAGCTGGGCAGTCGTAGACAGCATGCTGGTCATAGGCCTCCATATTGAAGGGGGACTTTGCAAAGCTGATGAACTCATGCAGAAAGTGCTCTGTGCGTGCCTGGAGGAACGGCCTGAGCTCTTCCTGAATAGCTCCATCCTCCATGTCATACCGTGTAATGCGCGACATGATGATGTGTTGAACTATGTTGACCAAAGAGCCGTGGGCTCCATATAGCACAATGAGTTCTCTTTTTAGCCAGGGGATCAGTCTATGGAGGCAGGCAGGATTTCTTCGGAAGAACTCAGCTGAAGTGTCTCGGGAGCGGCCACCATCGCGAACACTCCGAACCTTCACCCCACGTCGGTACAGTTCCCTTCTGAAGTTGACCATTTCCTGCTCCCTGACGTTGTTCACCACCCTCCCTTCACTTGCAGCTCTCCTCTTGGCTGCCAACCTCATCATCATGCGCCGAATGTAGCGGTCCTGAGGCTGTCGCGGAGGACCTGTTGAGGCTTCAAACATCACTCCATTGTCTGGAGGTGGAGAAGTCCTTCCCCGCATCTGTCGATGGACTCCGGTAAGAGTTGTGCGGTATCTAAACCGCACTCCCCCAAAAGTCCCAAAAGAGCCATTATCCAGTGGCTGTAGGTCAAACTTCTTAAAGTCTTGCTCTGATTTTATACTGTGATAGATTGAATTAAAAGGCTGTTTGCATAGAGGACATTCTGCTTTGTTCTTGGACCACTCATGAATACAGCGGAAACAGAACTTATGCAGGCAGAGGTCCAGGTAAGAAATGTTGTTAAATATGTCCAAACAGATGGGACACTTGGAGTCTGGTGACGCCTCTGCAGACATTGCTCCAGAGGCTTTCCTTCTGCCACTCTTCTGGCTCTGCTGCAGGGCAATCTTGATTGCTGACATGATCTGACATGAGACATATTAGGTTAAAGTTATTTTGAAATAGGAAAGTCTCAAAACCACCAAATAAGATGGGTAAAGCAGACATACAGTAACCTGTAAAGTCCTACTGAGGTGCTGCAGTTAAGTCTACAATCTGACCTATAAACTTAAAGAGGAATTTTACAATTAACCCTACATCTGCACTAAACACGGTTCATCCAGGTGTTCTTGACCGTTTGTTATAATGACCATATTCACATCATAATCAAAACATTTAGCTATGAGTTCACATGATCTATTTTCGTTAACTTATGACATACAAGCTTTTCTTGTTATAAGAACATGAACATGTCTCCCTCCGAAAGTATAGAGAACAGAAATATACGTGCACGTATAGAGAAATTGCCTTACATAAATTCAAGAACCATACCTCCCTACTCTATACATACACAAACGATTTGACATATGAAAGTAACTAGAAGTAACAAACCATAAGAATAAATAACAGCAACGGGTGCTTAACCCGAATAGACCATAGATAACGTAAGTGTTACATAGTAACGTTATGACAGTCCGTGATCTAGGTCTTATTTGCGCTGCATATTAAACCTTGAAAGGTATGTCACCACTGAAAAGAACATAATATGATAACACTAGTAATTCACCAACCCTCGTTTTTGTCCTTCCTCACCTTCGACTGTGTTGTTGTTTTCGGTTAGTTAGCTTAGCATGTTAGGCTGGATCTTTGCCTAGCGCCCTGTTTGTAGGGTTTCCTCACATAAATTACTAACGTTAACGTTACTGTCGGGAAAAACACTGTACATTGGATTTAAGTGCTCATTATCTTAACAATTCTAGAGTTTAAACAAGCAATCGTGTCAGAAGTACACTGGCCCTGCGAACTGCAGTTCGCGAACTGATGAACTTGGTTAGCTAAAGTTAGCAAGCTAGCTAACTAGGCTAGGGCGTTCCAGCTATCTTCGCTACATAAGCTAGGGCTAACGTTAGTTAGGACGTTACAGAAAAGTAGTGCAGTCCTTACCTTTGATTTCCTCAACCGCCTATACAGTTGGTAACTTATTAGCCCGTCCCGTCTTGTAGAAACTCATTCATTTCTACACAAATGTCACTCTGGAGAAACTGTTTAACTTACAAAACCAACAGCCTTGCTTCTCCTTCCATCGCCGTCTGCCGTTTTTTTATTCATAAAGCTACAAGCCACTACCGCCCTTCAGAGTAAAAGCGCAGTCTCCATGTTTGGAAAAACGACCACCACCAATATATTTTTAAACACACCACCATTTATTGTATATAAAAAATCATCAAGATAAAATTATTTTTAGTGATAATACCTGTTCTACACAACTAATACTTCTACAATGTACTGTAACAATGACTGACTGTGACGCGCATGAAGCACAGGGGACAGTGGCTGATCGTCAGCAACATCAAAAAATGATCAATCAGAATAGCTACCCCTGATATCTTAAATAAAAATGGCACAATATAGTACTTTAACATGCTCCCCATCTCCTTACAGTACACATGGAGTGAGTAGTGGTGCAATATAAAATGATTCTGTAGTGGGATCATTATTTGATAGGGGATATTAGTCTATACGCTACCCCTGATATGTTATTATAATATAATCAAAAAACACAAGATGTCATAATACTGTGACAGTTATAACTTTATGGGATTGGAAAAGGGGACACATAAGATTGCATGTTTCAATAGGGCAGAGCGACTCGATAGACTCTGCTATCAGTTTGCGCTACGCTAGCATTTTTCGACGAGGCAGCATTTATCGTCAGAAAACCGGCCCTAAGACAAAAATAACAGCTATTAAGGCCTTGTTTTTCTTACATGATAACACATTCTGTACATGTATAGTTATTTATAAGGCCAGTTAAAAGTAGCATTAAATTAACTTCAAAGTCTAAATTTTTAACATTTTATTTTTTTTTTTTATGTTCATTTACTATCTGGAAATCCAGTGCATCTTCAGTGGTGTACCAGAGTTGCTATAAAGCATTTGCCTTTTCCTTGCATTTAGTCCAACCACAGTATCCTTCTCCAAAATGAAATGCATGGAGTAACATAATTGAATTGCATTGTAATTTACAGATAGCCGCTTCACTACTGTGGCTGAGTTTACAACAAATTTTCTTTAAACTGATCTGATAGCAAAAAGCAAGAGATACTACAGCCTCCTACAAGTGAAAGCATCAAAAACATACACTGTAATATGTCACTATTTACATGAATCTGTAAAAATCATTAATACTCGTAAATTACTTTGTAATATTTTATTGCCATATACACAGTTTTTACAACAGAAATGAAAATTATTGAAATATTTCAACTTCAGTGATGACCATGGGTGTCAGGGAGATCTGGAACAACTTCACCTGTCTCCAGAATGGTGTCACCCTATACACAAAAAACAAGGATAAAAACATTTGAAATTGTCCACCCGGCAAAGACATCTCAAAGAGCCATTTATCTAGGCTATTTTTAGAGCATCTCAGGACAGTGTGTTTGCAAGGAATCAGACTGAGGAACAATCAGACCTTCCTATGGCTGGTAAAGCAAGCTAATATGTTGCACATACAAAAAATAAAAAGAACAATTATAGTTATTACAGGAAAAACAAAAAAGGTACAATGTTAGAATTAATAAACAAGTCATACTTACTGGGAACAGCTTGGGTTTTAATTCCACAATGCCATATGGCCTTTGCTGTGGAAGACAATTACACTGTTAGTGATTATGCTGACTGATCAATGTATCAGTTTACAACACTGTAAAATGACTGAATTCATAACCTGAAGCTGACACCTGAATGAATTGTGTAATGTATAGCACCCTTCTTTGTCAAATGCAAGAGAGAATGAAAGAACATGGAATAAAGTCAACGCTGCATATCCATCATTCTCAAGAGCTCCTATTTTCTTTGTAACTTCCGTATTTGTATGCTACCTGAAGCATGAAATTTTACACTTTACATACTTAAACATGTGTGTTGAACTCTGTATTATGGTTCTCTAAAAGCTCATCAGTATAACATCAGTGAATCACAGGCTGTTCACAAACATTCACACAAACTGAAGGTGTAACATCCAGGAGTTCTGCTTATCAAGTCATAAAATTCTGTTCACCAGATATATGTACCACACCATTAACATGTAATAGGTCTTTATTCTCTTTACTCCTAATTTGTTTACTAATATCACAAATAATGTCTAACATTTCTGTTGACTTACAGCAACATGGTATTTCACGTAGTAGTGAACAATCCAAGCAGGTATCAGCAGCCGTGTTAATGTGAAAACGCCACCTCTGTATGCTTTGTAGGTCTGTAAGGAGATGATACACATCAGACGCAGGAAAATATTAATAGAAAAGAAGTACACAGTGAATCACAGGGTTAATTTGTTGCTCCGAACAGATCCTGCATACTTCAACATAAGGTGGAGCTTGCTCTTTCACTCTCAGTAAGCGGGAAGTGTATGCATGTAAAATATTCACAAATAAAGCGTTTTTAAAAAGGGAGGGAGAACTTGAATTAGGAAATCAAAATGGAAACAGGTGCTGCCTTGAGGACTTGTGTAGATGTTGAAACATGAAGAAGACCCAAGTAAATCAGAGAAGTCTCAAATGGACAATCAAGTAAGATAAAGTAGGGCTATTACAGTTTCATAGCGAAAATCACCATGTGTAAAAGGTATATAACACCATTTTTGCAATATAAACATTTCAGCAGGCATGTTGGTTTAAAACCTCCCTCACTAGTTTGTACTCTCAAGTAAAAGTCAAATCTCAATAGAGCTGCAGCTAATAGTTGTTTTTAATAGATTAATCTGCCAAGTTTTGATTTACTCTATTAACGACAGTATCAGTATAAGATGTAAGGAGATAGTGAAAAATTTTTATCAGAAACTTAAGGAAAAGCATACATTGTGACTTGTCATAGTAGGGAAAGTACAGGTGTTAATATTAATGCTGGATATATTTTCCTAAGGTGTCCCAGTAAGCCACAACAGTGTGACAGTGAGCCAGCATGCACAATACCAGGACCCTGAATCCGAAGCAGCTAAATGGAAAAGCCATCATTCATTTTATTATTTATACCTGTGGCCTGTTTCCTGCAGTAACATGTCATTTTGAAAGGCCTATTCGTCATTTTTGTCAAGCCAACAGTCCACAAGTCAACAGTATTTCATTTACAATGAAAATCCCCACATTTGAAAAATTGGAATCAAGAGAATATTTGGTATTATATCATGATAAATAACTTGAACCGAGAGCCATAGGATTAGTGATCGATTAATCGGTCAGCCGATATCAGAGTGAAGTAAATCTACCATCCATTTGCACATTTTACCAGCATTTGGCTGGTGTCTGAACTTATTTTCCACTTGCTCCCATGTAGTCAAATAATAAATGTAGTACATTATGCACGAGTTATTATTTCAACAGAAGGGTAAAATTACAATTCTGAGTCTTTATACTTTACAGATTTGACTATGATGCAACCAAACAAGGACGAAAATTAAATAAAGAATTAAACTGGGTTAAATTGGATGTTTCACCACGTTGGAAGAGGCGAGTAAAGCTGCGCTGTAGCTTTAAATACGTTAGCTTTAATAAAAAAATAAAAATAAACAGTAGTTACACTTTGTAAACTCTCTATGTAAATAACTTTCTTTATAGATATTTAGCATGTTCACTGTTATCACCGGTGGTTGTTGTGCTAGCTAGCGTTAGCTCTGTATCAGCACTCACGTAAAGTCTCCACAGGCTCTTGGGCTCCAGAAAGCCAGCCCAGAACTTGGTGACGGCGCCGGCAGGTTTAGCTTGCACCACGGGCTCCCTCGGGCTGAGCTCCTGGTCCTTCAGCCACTGCCTCCGGAGCTTTGAAAGCTGCTCGAAACGGAGCTTCTCGTCTGGTGTGTACCCAGACATTGTTTATTTCTGGATATTCAACCTCAAGTAGTCTACAATGACACCATGGAGGACACTTCCCTTTGCAGGCAAGTACACCAAAGAAGAAGAAGAAGCGGAAACGCGACACAGATTGAACAGCTCGACAAATTCTAGTGCGACACCTTCTGGACCGGAAGATGATGTGTAAAACGACATGTTTATTTATTATTTTATTCTCCTATTTGTAATGCTAATAACAACAACAACAACAACAACAACAATAATAATAATGTTTATAATTATAAGTCAGACCATTCTGAGAGCAGCAGGTTTGATTACAACAAGCAATTGGTTGCATCAGAGTTTTTGGTTTATGACATATACAATATTTTACAGATGTGAGTCACACTTCCCCAGCATTTAACACCATCTTAATATTTTTGGTCTTAGTGCCCAGTTTTATCCACTAGGTGGCAAAAACAAGTTGGAGGATGACAAGTTGTACATTTTCATGAGAAACAGGCCATTTAAAGGGGCACCACCAACTTTCCATGTAACTGTCAGTTTACTAATCTTGGTTAGTAGCCTACTCCACTGCCAATAATAATGACATTAGAAAGTCTTCATGAAGTCATGATGTTCACACTCCGGTACAGTAGGTGATGGTATGCACCTTTCACAAATGTTTGTACTTGTTACACGAAGAAGAAGAAGAAGAAGAGTCTGGGGAAATGCCACTGTGGTTGAGGGGCTAATTACTGGGTCAATTTAAGAGGGCATGGAGATGGTCATCCAGCAAAAAGGATGCTGCAGACATTCTGGGAGAAGGACACAACACAAAAAACAAGTTTTGGGTGGACAGGGGATCAAATGGCAAAGGAAGCAGGAGTATATGATAAAGAGTTTGGCGCAAACGTGGTGTTGCCTATCAGACCTGTCTGGGAATTAGAAACACCATGTGTAGATTTGAAATTACTTAAGATTAAAGACAATAATAAGACTGCTGATTTAACTAGTGTATATTATAGCTATAGGGACAGTAAGTATAAGGAAAGTATTCAGATTTTCCCAGATGGGTCAAAGGACACGCAAACAGACGCAAGAAGGTATGCAGTTGTTTTTCCCAGGTAAGTGGAACTTAGCAAAAGAACATCTGATTGTCTTGAGTGGGTTTACAGTTGAAATGTTCGCCGTATTGATCGTATTGGAATGGATGGAACAAATTAGTTATAGGGAAATATTAACATGTAGTGACTCTGTGTCAGCTCTTATAAGCAT